ATTTTAGAAATTATCTGCGGTTAATTTCCATATTTGGTTAGTGCGCGCCGATTCCGCCGATTGAATTTCGAACAGTGATTGTAATTGGAGAAAATAAAAATAAATTTCTTACCAACATCAAAGAGATATGTTGGAATATAAATTAATAATTGGTACTTGAATAAATAAATAGATAAGGAATATAAATATAAATTATTAGTAGATGAATTGTTCAGAAAGATGTGGGATGAAATCATTTGTGTTAGTAGTAATATTGATTGTAATTGAGAAAATAAAAATAAAATTCTTACCAATATCAAAGAATTATGTTGGAAAATAAAATAATAATTATTGGTTGGATAAAATAAATGTATATATTATTAGCAATAATCGAGAAAAAACTCTTAACCAATGTTGATATTCATTGAAAATATATATATCAGAAAATAAAATTGATAATTAGTAATATTAATGTTCAAATGTTTTAATATGAAGAAAATTATTTAAAAGATAAATGTTATTACTGTCTTGCCTGTAGTATGTTCCCAAACAATCATACCAAAACTTTTGATAAAGCAAACAAGAATCATTCTAATATTATTTTGTTTATTGGTATTTCACTATTTTTTATATCTGTTATTGAACGAGTATCTAAAAAAGTTTTTGGGTGATTGTGCTTATAAGTCTCTCAAATGGTTTTGTCGTTTTCATTAGCTCAAATAACTTTAAATCCAGCTCCCGCACCAGAAAGTCATAATAGTCGGACGACATTTCACGCGATCGACATGTCTACTGTAATAACTGGCTTCGAGTTTCGTGTTACGTGTAATTAACATATATAAAAGAAGAAAAGGTTTCCGTGTTACGGTGCCTTACTCGATGTCGTAATTTTCGTGTAGATTTTTTGCCCAATTTTGAAATGTTTGGTTGCACGGGAAATGTTTCGTTGTAAAAGAAGAGAAGTTACAGTTACTGTTACCGTAACGTAACGTAACGTAACGAAACGTAACTGTAACTTCTAAACGTCCTGTTTCTCAACTTTATTAAACTGAATTTTTGGGGAAGGATGAGATCAAAATCAAAGGGTA